TTATTTTCACTGGCTCTGGTGTCACAAACTTTACTCCTCCGTTGAAAGCCAAGTCTACTAGATTAACGTGTTCATAAGTTAGAGAATTTTGGGGCATTATATTATTAATATGTTTGTATTTATTATGTAATATCAATAAATTTTACTTGTACCGTAATCTGTTTGCGTATTTGGTGCAACTCAAATTTTTACAACACGTGATATAAAATACTCTGATGTCAAATTTTACTTTTTGCTATATGACATTTTTGCGATCGATCCAATGGCCGAGTCCAGCTTTGCAGAAACACAGTTGAAAAAGTATGGCTGGTCCCGAGGAAAAGGACTCGGAAAGAACCTAGAAGGACGGAGTAAGGCCATCACTGTGAAGCAGAAGAAAGATTCTGCTGGGGTGCGTAGTATTAATTGTTTGTCGAAAGTGTTGGTAGCAAAAGACATGCCGAACTCATTTGAACAATATGATTTAATAGCTTGGTCTTGGGTCTTATGACTGGTCATTCCCATGGTGGGAGCATTTATATAATAGTACTTTACAGAATATAGGCGATATTGCGACTAATGTAAGTTGTAATTCTATTTGTAATTTCTACAATCAAACCATAGTTTGCAAATTTAAAGATTCGTTTATTAAACAAATAAAGGATAAAGAAAAAAATAAAGTGGCGAAACCGGTTGTGATACCGCGAACACGCACAGGTATAATAAGCACAGATGAAGTACGCTGGGCCAATGCCTTATCATCCTCCACCGATACAACATCCTCGACAGCAGGACTCGGGGATTGTTCAACGTCAGTTTCTGCGTCGGTTCAATCGTTCAAATGTCAAAAGATGATAGAAATAGCTAAACAATCGTTATACGGGAATTTCGTCAAAGGGACGAGTCAGAAGAGGTTGGTCACAAAAGTTGAATGATTGTTGGTTATTGAGGTGGAAACTTATAGAATTGTTGAATTTAGCACAATTCCTACGGCGGAAGGGTCTACTACGCATTCAGCGACACCGGCTCCGTCTAGTGATGTCAGCAATGATACTAGCACTGTGGCAAGTGCCGCGAATAGCGTTGACTCTGCAGAGATAGTGAGTCCCAAGACGCGTGAAGGCGAGGACATTGAGATAAAAACGAAAAAGAGAAAGAAAAAGGATAGAAAGAAAGAAAAGGAAGGGAAAAAGGAAAAGGAGGTCAAAGGTGATGAGAAGGAATATAGTAAGAAGAAAGGAACTAAGAAGCGCAAAACAGAGAAGGGAAAGGGGAAGAGCGAGACAGAGGATGACGTTTCTATAAAGCCGAAAAAGGATAAGAAAAAACGGCGTGATGAACGGGATAAGCGAAAGAAAAAAGACAAATCAAAAATAGACGGGAACGGAAAATCTCCAAAGAGTGAAAAAACGAGAGAACTTGCAGATTCAGAGAAAAAAGAGAAAAAAGCAAAAAGTTTGAAAAGAAAAGACAAAGTTCCACTTTGAAACCAACCTAAAGCAGTCTTCAAATAAATTATGGGAAAACTCCCTCTTTTATTCCATCTCGCGTATAACTATAGCACGTGAGAATTTATCCTTATCGAAATGAAGTCTACATGCCGAAAATCCAGTGAATTAGAATACCTGGTAGAAAAATTCCAATAACATTCTATTTACATTCTCTGTTAGCAAGCTGCCGAATCAAAAGTCTCAAATGTTTAAAATCGGAGTTCCTTTAGAAAAATCCATGACTAGCGATAGATCACTCGCTGTTACTTAACTAGTTGATGGCAACCCGCATTATCGTAAATCGTTTTGTAAGAGGAAACCTGTTCTTTCAAGGACTCATGGCAACTCTTTTAATATGAAATCCGCTTCACCGGCCTCATCCAACTCCTCTGGAGGTATACGAGGCTGTGCAGAGTTAAAGAATGTCAATTCGTTCGAGATTGAATATTAAAGAGACAAGTCTTTTTAAAAAACCAAGATTTATCAACTTACAATAATAGGAGGCGGCACATTACGCTCCCACTTGGAACCATCCGGAGCAGTAGGATCTGACGGAAACAAGAAAAAAAAATCGGTCAAATGTCGACTTGGAAAAATAAATTCTTTTCCACGCTTCTCTTACTACTCACATCTATATGGATCGGGATGTTTAAATTCTTCCAACTCTCTTTCAGTGTTCTCTAGTATCTTTCTCAACTCTACAGTCGAGGCAACGTTTTTGTTTGCCGTAAATCTTGCTCGGATCTCCAACGCCTTTTCACGCCAGAGATCGCGTTGCACATACCAGTTGAGAGAGGTTTTAAGAGCACGTCTGTAAAGTGACGCTACATAACGTCTATTGGCTTCAGAGAAGGCTGGAGCGGTCATATGAAGTATCGAGATGGAGAAAGAGTCAAATTTCGATGAGTGCCAAATGTACTGTATAGCATCAAATGCAATTGCCTATTACTATTTACGTCACAGATAAAAATATCAAGAGAACGTGTGACGTCACCCACATTGTTCTTACTTCTCGTGTCAGCTTTTATGTTTTCTATCTTTACAATAAATGTGATTTCGCGATAGCAAAAGTCTTATTGTCATGAAATTCTTGTTCCGACGATGAATCTACCCATAGTTTAATTATCAAGCGAACGACATGGGAATATTTAATTTTGAAATTGCTTTGGCGTGTGTTTATTAATATTAGAAAGATATATCGTAATCGTATTCTTTCCAGCGTTGGTTGCCACCAACATAGCTCAACATTAATAGAATAAGATAAAAAAAAAAGATCCCTTATCCTTGTTGTTCTCTTCGTAGGTCGCATACACTTGGATGGCAGTAAATGATTTTAATCATACTAACTTATATTAATTATAAACGAATTTATACTAATATGGAGTACTACACTCTCGCTTAAACATTGATCAAAGGACTGGGACATGACATTATAATATACATTCTCTCTCATACAAGGACGCCTACAGGCTCTGTGACCAACGTTGTGGGTTCAATGGACGAATTTCAATCCCCGGTTATAAGTACTGGACTAGTATTAGGGAGTGAAATTTATACGGTAAAAGTGTGGGATAATGAGCGTGATTGTGGTGATACGAGATAAATGTAGCATATGCAAACGAGGGTTGAATATGAGGGGAAAGAGGTAGACTAGGTTTTTGATACGATTCATCCCCCTCGGTTTTTTGTTTAATAGTGATCGCCCCGATTAGTTGAAATATAACTTACTCACAGTGGTCAACTACACGTCCCGGATTCACAATACCCCACACCTAAACACACACAAAATGTCTGCACCAGACCGTTCACAGCAGCAACCGCGAACGACGGTTTCCAGTAGCGTTGGCGTCGGTACAACGGCATTGACCACGACAGCCACTTCTGATACCTTTTCTCGTGCGGGCTCATCCTTGACCTCTACCTTGTCTGCCACCACTCTTCCTCGCCGGCATTCTATCTATGGTACTGGTGAAGATCGTATCGTTCTCGATATAGGCAGCCTGTACATTAAATGCGGCTTTAGTGGTGAGGCACGACCAAGACATATTGTGCCAGTTCATGCTGGGAATATGAAGTTTCATTGGATGTTGGATTCTTGTGGTAGTGGGGGATCAGAGAAAGAATGTAGCGAAGGGTGTAGACTTGTTGGTGGGGTAAGTAGGAAAAAAGAGAGGAGAAGGAAACTAGAGCGAGTCTTGTGAATATACGATTGCGCGAGTTTGTGAATTAAGATTGCTAGAGTTGGTAGAGTTATATTGGATTGATGAATAGTACCATAATTTGTATAATTTGTAGTTGATTTTTATAAACAAACGTTTTTGAATGTTAGTTTGCCGAACTATTTGATTTGCAAATCGGATGTAAGCAAGAGGATCTGGATGCTTTGTATGATAGGTTATCCCACTTTTTAAGAGAAGTCTATTTCAGGTGAGTCGACTTTTATTTTACTTTGAACTTGCACCATTTATTTGTTTGATTTTGACTGAGCTGATTTCTTTGGTTAGATATTTGTTAACTGATTCCAAACACCGAAAAGTGGTGCTGTGCGAACCGCCAATGATGCCATTGAAATTGAAAGAATTGATTGCCAAAGTTCTATTTGAGAATTTACAAGTGAGTTGCGAGCAGTCATGATATTGTGTGGTTACGATGATCAAGTACGTATGTTGACGTTCATCTTACCAACATAGGTTCCATCAATATCCTTTGCTCCATCGCACATGCTAGCATTACTTACGACAGGTTGTACAACTGGATTAGTAGTCGACTGTGGACATTTGGAGACGACCGTCATGCCGGTAAGCAATCGAATACTTTTGAAATGCAAATTCGATGACACATGACTACTATTATGATTCTTGTGAAATCATTATTCACGTCTTGTCTATCTCTCCATCCTTGCCACGAAAAAGACCTTCTCTGCCCGCCCTTTAACCCCATTTATCCGAACAACTCCTCTTGCCGGTCGTGCTCTCACAAAACGACTCAAAAATCTTCTCTGCATGTCTGCTGAGATGATAATTCCTCCAGCTACTTCAAAAGTTCCCGTCATTCCAAAATACTTGACGCATACCATAATCGAAGACATAAAAACGCGTTTCATTTTCGTTTCTCCCATGCATATTCCTGCTAACGGAACCATCGGCGTGGCAGAAAAGACTCCAGAGGAGGATATTGAAAAAAAATACGCAAACGACAGTAAAGTCGAGGATCTGTATTATCCGATTGCGTTAGGGACGGTAGGAGGAAAGAACCAGATCGGTACACTTGTGGTGCCAGGGTGGATTCGTGGACGTGCGGCAGAAGTATTGTTTGAAGGCGATGAGGATGAGTCGAGTGTTGTTGGGTGTTTGTTGGAAAGCCTTTTGAAGGTATGAGAAGAAAATGAGCGGTTCCGACGAATGGGCAGCTGCTGGCAATGCATATTTTTTATAGAGCATTTGCAATTGACTTGTTACTTTCATTTGCGCATGTCCTCCTTCATTGCTGATTCAAGATCTTGTTCCTATTACATTATGCTAGACACCAATTCATCTTCGTCGTTCTCTGGCATCTTCTATCCTCTTAATTGGCGGTACTACACTACTTCCCAACTTCCAACTCCGTCTTAGTCAAGAAATACTCCGTGCTCTACGTGTTGATAGACGGTTTGCGACCATATCTGGACTTTCTGATCATATTGGATTCCTAGAGGAATCCGGAAGTGGCAAAGTATTTGTTGCAAATTGTCGTGCATGGGTTGGAGGTGAGCTGTACCATAGTATATACATTCTATTGTATGTTGCGTCTGCCCCTTTATTAAAATGCTTTATATCTTGTATTGTTTCGCAGGATCGTTGATAGGGTCATTGAAGTCTACGACAGTTGAGCTTACAAGAGAGAAATTTGACGGGGAAGTTCCTGATTGGTCTTTGGGCAATATTCCCAAAGCAGTATAAAGTAAGAGTTGAAAGGTCATAGATTAATCAAGTCGATTAAATTATTCATATTAAATAATGTAATCATAAACGCAAAAAAATACGAAAATACATTGAGTAAAGTATACTTGCATTGACTCTAAAGATTCGACTTCTTCCCTAGTTGAATCCCGAATATACAATATCGGCATACCGTAAGCCAAAGTCACTCTCAGTAGAGCTTCGCGTAAATTTTTATTTCCGCATAACAAACCCCTATCATGTAATGTCACACATCTGCACATTGGAAATCTCCAAATAGATGAGATTGCATAACATAATCTTATTTCCATTGATTAGATTTATGATAATCATGTCAATTTATTATTTCGTCAACTTTGCAGACACGATAAATGAAGGCTTCTTTTTTGACATAAGCTTACAATCATATTAATAAACCGTAATTTCAAATTACATATAAATTAACGACATATCCTGCATTATATTGTTCAATGCGTGTTCTTTCTATTCCTCTAAACTAAATTATAGTAATGACAATGTTCTATACTTTATGCAGAGTAGCAAACAAATGGAGTTCCATTGGTGTTTGTGACGTTGCCATATGGAACTCGTATGCCAAAGTATTGGCCCGTGGATCATATTGCCATCGTCTATAGCGGAATGCGAAAGTGTGTAAGTGTTGTGCATATTAATTAATATCTATAATTAACGTGAATTTAATTACCTTTTGTATTCTTGTACGTGAGGAGGCTGAGAATAGATACCAGTTAGAAAAAACATTACAAGAAAATTCCGGAACGCTCAACGATACACGAACCAAGCCTTTTCTTAATCTTTACCTTGGCTGAAGTAGATCGTGCGATATTAGAACAATGTAAGGATAAAGATGTGCCTTCAATTTGTCCCTCTTCAACAGTAGCGACTCCTAACCGAAAGCGCAACAATACAGAATGCATGTATTTTAAAGTATTATTGTATGTACTTTTATGTGTTTGTTTAGTCACACGAAAGTTTGACAAAACAACAACAACAAACAACAACAACAACAACCGCTACCACCACAACAGCAACAACAACCACTACCGCCACCACAACAACAACAACGACAACACAACAGCAACATCAACAACAACAACATCAACAACAACAACAACAACAACATACCAGTTGGCTGCGCAAGGATCAATTCGACTCGATTAACACCGGGGCAACGGAAATAACCCATTTCACTGTGAAAGTTGGCATTATTCCGAGCTGGGTTCCATGTCTTTTGTCTTCATACATGCGGTTGGTTTAGAGTCATTATGTTAAAAATAGCAATCGACGCGTACGCTCAAAAAAGCATGTACGTGTTCTAGTATGCTCGGTCCTGCCTCGGTTGTTCCTTGGTTCGAACGTATATTGATATTACCTATAATACAGCCACCCTCTCCCAGCTTCATCGGGATAGATTTCGATATCTTCGATATACTCGAATTCCTGCATTCCCGGATACGTTCCCTTCCCTCGTCCTTGCCATTTGCCTATCATGAAACCCAACGGATGGCCCACCAATTCTTGTCCTCCCACTGATGCCTGTCCTCCCGTAACAGTTTCGATGCCATGTTCAAAGCTACTTGCACCGAATCCACTTGCTTGTTCGTTGATAATGCCCTTTCTGGTTCGAGCAGTGTCGTCTCCACTTGCACGTTTCATTTTTGGTGGGAATAGTTTGTGCGTTTTTGCAAGATGGTTGATAAGATTCGATGTGCTCCCACCATGCTTGAACGTTTTCCCACATGATTTGCAACATGCTAGGGGTTCACCATCGGGTAAAGTTTTAACATCAAAATAAGGCCAGACCCATGAAGTTTTTGGTCTTGGTTCACCTACTTTCATTTCGAAAACCGTCGCCATTTTCGATAAATTGATAATGAGCTCGTCTTCCTACTCATCTTTTTGGCCTGTTTATTAGTACATTTTTATCCTTATACGCCCCCGCAAGTTGAGAGATGAGATGAGATCTTCGATTATCACCTGACGACATTTTTGAGAAACCAAAACAGGGTTTAGTACCAACTTTCTCTGTAAAAGGGTGAGTGGATTACTGTTGGTTATATATCATATTATGTGAAGGGGTTAGGGTTAGTATCTCTTGATATCTGTATCACGTTGGCTAGTCGATATTCTATCGTTAGCATGCGTTTTCTTTTTTACGTCTTCCTTTTACCGTATAGACAATATTACGGGCATACTGAATGCGCAGAAGGAGACAATATCACTCATACAAAATTGCCAAATATTCAAGCGACTCCAATGACCCATTGTTGCCCCATTTTCCATGTATACAATTTTTTGCTGGAAAACGCCTATCTTCTAATTGAAACCATTGAGGGGGGAATAGATAACGAACACACTTTTCATTCCGATACTCGCGAATTTATGGGTGTGTGTTACATTTATGAGTCAGCATATACATACAAAATAAAACAATCTTTGATAAGGGCTATGAGCATGTTGGTACGCGTGTAATGTGGATATCTTAAGCCATAACTGGGTTTGAAACACTACTTCGAACTTTACGTTCTTTTTTCTGTTGTGATTTGCGCGTTTAACCATACATATTCCTGCTTGCTTCTCGAACACACATCTTTAGTGATAAAAACAGTACTTACTTTGAATCCCCTTCCCCACCAACACAAACCAACTTTTTAGGAACGCGAAAATGAATGGATATCTATGGTAAAAGCGTTTCTGATAAGTGGAAATCATACGTACCACTTAAAGTGGGCGTTTGTCAATAAATGTTTAGAGTTAGTCCGAAATCTACCGTACAAACTGTATTAATAATAGTGATTATGATAATCAGAAAACCCCATAAATAGGCATAATGTCACAAATATGGAGTTCCCATCCGACAAATTTGCTAGGTCAAAAAAAGTTAATCCTTCTCATCTTGAGACGCATTCCGCCTCCGAAAAAAGTTTTGAGAAAATGGATGGATTGGTCACAACCCAAAGCATCTAGCATAAACAGTTCTTTGGACGTCTAAAATTTATTAGAGGCCAGTGTTGATATCGAGGAACGAGATTTTGATTGTTTATAGTGTTAAAGCATGTACAGTGAGTGGACTCTCCCCAAGTGCAGCTTCTCTAAGTGCAGCACTATATTTTCCCTCCCTAAATGCAGATCCTCTATAAATGCAGGTCGTATCTTATGGTCCCGTCGGTGCTGCACTTAGGGAGAGTCCACTGTATACGTTTATTTCTCTGGTATGGGAAAAGTCTACATGGACGATAACGAACGACGATCGCTTTCATATCCCGACTATGGAATAATTGTTCTCAAGAAATGGACGTCTTGTAGGAAGTCAGTTTATCACTTCTTACACATCACAATTTGTTTTATAAGTGGATCATAAGCTTTCCAAAACGTTCTGTGGTGCGCGTTACGCTTGGATAATGTTTTGATCCACAAAAAATATCGTTCAGTGGGTGGCAATTCTAGATTTACTCGTGGCAAGGCCTTCATCATAATAAAAGCATTGAGTACATTTGTTTACTGGTTAACAAACATACGATTATTACAGTTCTTAGTATTCAAAAGCAATTAACATGTAATCGAGGAATGATACCCAGAACCAAATACACGTATGTGTTGATATGTGTATATGATAGATCTTTACTTCTCATCGAACAATCCTAATACTTAAACTCAATTAATCTAGCAATAAAGTCGTATAGTCAGAATAAACGAATCCCTACGATTATTTCAAATGTTCCGTCTCGCATAAAACTGGTTTATTCATGATCGTAATAAAGACGGATTTGTCGATAGCCTAGACAAAATATCGTAATCATGTGAGAGTGCGGACCAATTATGCCTAAACCTTGAACCCGGCAACGATTTTTTTGTCCCACAATTTTCTTGCTGTCCATATACCTTAATTTGGTCAGCAGTGTCGCAAATCTCATCGCTTTAATCATCCCCTCTATCCACCAGTATCATCGAAAACACATTTTTGTTACCGGGGGAAATGGGGTGGAAAGATTATGCTCATCTCTTATTACTATAAATAATGTTACTGTTTATTTATAGTATCGTACGGATGCTACACACGCATTACTATGTTTATTATCGTGGGCAATATTCTTGATCGTGGTAGAAGATACACGAGGTGTTCTTGAGAATAAGACTGGTTATTAATATGAGTTTCAAACTTATACTCTTTACCATCTACACTAAATAGTTATTCAACGAGCGAATATTGTATATTCAAAGTCGGTCAGTAACGTTTATTTATCTCGAAATCTAAATTATTTTAGTAGATGGTCAGTTAGGGTATAACTTTCAGAAACGTTATATAATAATTATTCTTTTTAGGGTATGATTTCGGCCAACAGAGATCGAGTCATAAATGGGCTCTATGTAATTTGTTGCTGAAAGCTACTAGACTTTTATAACCTCAAAGTCCTATAAAACAAATCCTTGTATTGACCCTGAATAAATTATATTGATCGGAAGCTTGTAAACGTTATCACAAACGATGGTAGTCGCTGTCGCGGGTCATGTAGCACAAAGCAATGGGACATTCTTACCATGTCGTTAATTCCAAGGGCTGAGGATATCAATCCAGCAATTGACGACTTGATTGCAATTAATAGTCATAGCTTTAAATGGGTTTCTTACTCGGAAATCACCGACATAAAGTTGACACTATGATAGAGTTGAAGAAATAAAGACAATGTTGCTATTACTTGGAGTGATGAAATATGTACGCCAATCTTGTGAATGAAGTTGCCAGAATATATTCACTCGCAACACAACAATCAATAATTTTCTGTATGGCTTGAAAAACACATAATTTATGAAGATAAGTATTACATGGTTGCTAAGATACACTTTCAATGTTGTTATTCTCTATATGGATTTTGCTCTGCATGTGGAATACTCAGATGTAGTCCTGTATGGTGCATTTGTGGAAACAAATAATTATTCAATGGCTGGACTGGCAGCAATAAGCAACTCGATGAGTCTATTAAATTCAACAAACGACGCCTATTTGGAATGGATTCCATTCGATTGTATTGATGGTGGGGAATATGGCCTATACGTGTTCTTGTATAGTCTACCTACATACAATTTTGTTAAATTGATTCCGCTTGAAATAACAAATGAAACGGACGATCTGTATTATCAGTTATGACGAGGTAAACCATTCAATTATGCATCATGTTTACTGATAATTATTATTTCCACTAGTTATGTGATAAATATCCATTGGATTTACAAGTGAAGACAATTATTATCCAATAAAAGAATATGATGAGAGCGAATTATTGACTTGATATAATGTTTTATTTCCACTAGTTATGTGATAAATATCCATTGGATTTACAAGTGAAGACAATTATTATCCTGCCATGTACAAGAAAACCGGAATCTACGATAATTACTTTTTATTATTTTGTAAAGCACCAAGACCTCCTGATTGTAATAAGTCTTTGGATTCATTTATAATACAGTCATGGAACAATACAAAGAATGAATGCGATGCATATATACAATGGATAGATTATTCTCTATTGAAAAACGTACATTATTACGCCATGGCTATACACATATAGCCGAATGGTTAGAACCGACAATCAATAAACGGACAAGAGTGACACTCAAAAAAATAGTCGACGAACAGGATACTCAGTTATTTGATTTTTATCGGGTAACTTGTTTACTTGCAAACAGAAATGAGCACCCGGAGATATAACACCAGCAAATATTTGGATTATCGGTATCATTCAAGAGTCATCTGCTCTTATGCCGTTGATGCGTAAGCCCTATAGTCGGCCCCCTCTCAGACTCGAAAGCAACGTCTGGATGCATATACTGGAAAGACTCACTATAACAGCATATCCGATCTCCCCCACCCCCTACTGGTCTTTTCCCCGGCCATGGGTTTTACCAGTAGATGCACCATACTAACAATCGTTCTTTGTTCTTTAGGACGGTTTTTTATTATGTGGTCTCGGGTAGTAGCACTCAATAGGAGTTGCTCTAACTTTTCTCTCTTCCTTTTAGATAGATTAGATACCCTCCTTTTTTGGATTTATCATTTGTAAATATAATATGATTCAAAAAACAGCTTTAGCGATCCACGTAGCTGTGCCAAATAAAGGATCACCAAATCAAGAGTCATCTGCTCGAAAATATTGTTTGGTGTTTTATCACAAAGCCCATACAACATTAGACAAATTTATACGAATCAATATACATAAATTAAGGAGCTTGGATCTGGTGGTTATGGAACTGTCTATACCGCCAAATATAAAGACAATTCAGAAGGGCTAAAAACTGTCGTGCTCAAACGCTTCAAGAGTTTTGACAAAACGCCAGAATTATTTATTTCCGAGGCAAGCAATCTTTGATATCGTTAACCAAAAAGATAGTTAATCTGACTCTGTATTTATTTGTATTTAATAGTTCAAACATCACGCCCAGTGTTCGCGTTACAATTTCTTTAATATTCATGGAGTCACACAAGATCCAGAAACAGAAAGAGTATATGATTGTTATGCAATATGCTGATAACGGTGGTCTTTTGTCTTATTTGGGTCAACATGTTAACGAATTAACGTGGAAGATGAAGTTGAAGTGTTTGCAAATTTGTTTACGATTCATTTTGCAGGATTTGTGCATTGCGATATTCATGGCGGAAACATAACAATGCGTCAGAGACAGAACAAGACTTTCATACTTATCTGCGAGCAGGCGTCCAGATGTGCGGACACATTATTTTTATATTTGCAACTCTAGTAACGACTTGGATAAGGATAAGTCTGACGACAACGTATGGAATAATATTTATCACAATAATGTAAAACTCTTGTCGCGTCTCGAAAAGGAGAGTAAGTACTCTAGTAAGCTCTTACTTACAGGAGATTTGCCCAAACCGAGAAGCAGCTATGAGATCTCAATTCGGTTTCAGGTATAAAGACAAGATGGACCATTAACATGAGGGAAAAGTCATTTATAAATATTAGCACTGTTACCTTGATTTATGTTGATATTTGTTTAATCAAATTGTTATACGCAAACTTTTTCTTTTTTTATTGGAATACACAATCGAAATTATTTACCCGCCAATAATCGTTGTAAAGAATGTAAGTGCTATATGTGTAAGTTTAATGTAAGTTGAGATCAATGAAATAGCACGCAGATTATTGCATGTTAAGTTGTATCGGCACTTTCTACTAATTTCATTTGCTTTTTACAAACTTTATATGCGCTTAATAACATAACTGTCGCCTTCACTCAGTCAAATATGTTGATAAGCAAAGCCCTGTGTATCCTTCGTAATCCAGTATTTGCGGTAAGGTTAAGGTTTGTGAGATCCTATGTATTTTTCATAGTATGCAAAGCAAGTGCCACCACCAATAGAAGTTTCTGCAACATTTCCAATATAAAATGAACAATAAAGGTGTGCCAAACATTGTGGGAAAGAAACTGAAAAAGCGGTAGCTGATCAACACGTCAAAATTCCGCTGAACCGAAAGAGCAAACGTCTACAATGCACATGAGCGAAATCTAGAGCGCAGATAACTTTCTCAATGACAGCGACTATTTTAACAATCGAATATGGCTATAAACATATCTTTCTAATTATATTCCTACTATCTGGGCTGGTTTTGTGGCCCTGTAATAAGACTTTGGTCCGACGTTATACAATCTTGAATAGTTAATCTGTTATCCAATAATTTATCATTACACGAATGTTTATTTGTGTGCGTAATCCCACTTTTTAATTAGTTCATTGTGTTTGATAAGATAAGATGTGGTTTCTCTTAAACTCTTCGATGGCCAGACTTATGACGCCATTAATTAAGCTTACTATTACAAACAGCCATTGTTGGCATCTACGTACTTATAGCCAACTGCCATAAGCTGTGTTTTGTTGTTCGACCCACTGACAGATTCTGTCGGCCTTCGCTGATAACCGGCACAACAGAACAATCGCCTAGCACATAATCACAACATGCTAGCCATGTTTGCCATAATCATATCTAATCAGAATAATGCCTTCTGCGGATGTCGTGGATCTCGTATGCATTGTAACCTTGCTACTTTGCGTAACAGAGAATATTCCTTAACGAGTGACGAATAGAGATAACATAAACGAATGGGATATACAGTATTATGGTTTAAGTTAGGGTATACAAGATTTAATTAGCTGAAACGAACCACCATATCGAATTGATTGCCGTTCAAGCCCTCTGGCCCCAGTCATTGTATTCATTGATATGTAGAAGACAACAATTGACATAGATATGGACAATACGCGAGGATAATGTGCAATGTTATTTAAGGGAAGTGCGACCCTCGTCAAATGGCTAGAGTAATATAAATAGTAATATAACTGACAGAATTGTTAGCCGCCGTTTTTGCAATTTCCATAATCCGAAGAATGTCAAACACAGGTTTCCGGAATGTTTACTAGTTTGTAAGGTCATTTGATCTCAATAGTAAATGTTTATGTATTTTATGTATTAGAATTGCAACTGCATGGAAAATTCTACAAACAGAGATACCGGCACAAATTGGATAGGTACCTAAGCTATAAGGGGAAAGGAAAAGGCTCGAGTATAATATGTCATCAAGACAATAACAAGGCAAATGAAATAGCCGGGTTGAATGCTCTCTTATGCCATTAGGTTTCTATCACACAAGGTAAAAGAGATTCACATTACATTAATGTTTACTTATTTGTATAGGGTGATTGTACCAATAAGGAATTTCAGGTGTTGTTTATACGCAGTCACATGGACTGACGTTAATTCATTGTAAAAATTAACATTATGATTGATGATGTATATTCTCCCCGATCCTCTAATTAATATAACTGAAAAACTATAAATATCAATTGGCATATAAAAATGGGTGCTTTACAGAGTTGGTTTACCATGAGTTTTGATGATTAACTAAACAAGTTGTTGGCTTGGTAGTGTCATATGTGATTATTTCCCATACAATTAACATCAATCACTGATGACTTATGTTTGTGTTGGTGACATCATAAAATGCATGGAAAATATACTAAAAATATCCAAATGCGTAAAGCATGATATTTATATTATTACAATGCTTTAATTTATACGTCTTATTTTATAATATGAAGGGGTTTTGTTAACGATTATTATAAGTAGTTGCTCTCTTTCTGCAAACTCTGCCATAACAACGCAAACTCGTATACATTTATTTATCATCACCTAAAAGATCACGGCTCGCATCTCTCTACTATATCACCCCGGATATACCGACTACCATATCACCTTATCATTGATTATACACTCGGCGGAGAGGGTCAATCCCACACGCCTCACTGACAACGTATACTACGTCTCTTACACCCATCAAGTATGAATGGAAGAGAGGTGCCTCAGAATACACAGACCTCAAGCTCAGAACATGCAGAGCCTTCTCTTCCACGAAGGAAAAAAGCAACTAGAGCCTGTTACCACTGTCAGAAAGCCCATTTGACTTGCGATGACTGTAAGTAGCTGTAACAATGAGAGCAAAGGGATGCACTGTAAATTCAACGGAACAGCCGTAATCAATATATACGTCTTTATTATTTTGCAATTCGTCTCAACTTGTGTCATAGCGCACTTGCTCATACTTTTCAGTTGTAATGTTACTTCCTTGGATTTATCATTTGATCTAAACTTGTTTCAAAAACTTTCTTTTTCTATGGTAATTAAATTACTAACAATTACATTCGTGTTTTTTTTTCCCCCATAGCACGACCATGCCAACGTTGTATAAAGCGAGAATTATCGGCAACATGTACAGACGGAATAAGAAAAAAGGCGAAATACTTACAAGACTCGAATTATGATGGTGCGCTTAGACATTATTTATTATGTTCTAATTAGCAAATCGTGTTGCTGGCTTGGATAGCAGCAATACATCATTCCCCTATATCTCTACCCGATTCTTTATTTCGTCCCTCGAAAGTCCTTCGCGGTTTTTTATTTCTTTCTACCATTCTCCTCTTCTTGTTTATATATTCATCACAACAAATTCAAAAACTAACATATAGCGCATTCTTCGCAAATCGATTTCGACGTTACGGCTAATTCACGTAACAACAACCAAATGGCAACTGATGATTCGGTCGATGACAATAATCAAATGCTTCTTACTCCGACTTCATTTATTCATGATGATTCGGAATGTTCCACTGATTCTCGAATTAATGATCCCGATCATATGGTAGGTGGAAATTACTTTGGAAAGACATCCGCAGAATGGTCAAGCCTATGCTGTTGATAATCCATTGCCGGCCTATCTCTATTACTACATTCATGTATCTGATCTTGTCTATACTCAATGTTAACATCCTTTCAATCTTATTTCTCTCCAGTCCGATATACCTGATATCTTGACTCCAACAACACCAACACATTCACAATTTCACATCCCTCGTCCTTATTCGTCTCCACTCATCTCCAATGGGTCTCCTCGTACACCTCTCACCCCTCTCACCCCTCGCACCCCTCACACCCCTCTCACCCCTCGCACCCCTCACACCCCTCTCACACCCGTACCTTCTCATATATCCTATATACCTCACAATGTATCATCGTCATCCTATGCACCTTGCCTTACCAACGTTTTGATAGTACCACCGCACCAAACACAAGCAACTGCACAACTGTTCATACGTGATGGCTTTCAGCAGCATACTCGTGAGTATCGTGTTCTGTCATGGTTGAAAACATAGAGGATAGAGGTATAAGAACGTTAATATTTAAATATGAGAGTGTAAGAGAATATAAAGCTATTTACGGTAGACAAAAGTTATATAGTAAGAGTAAGGGTGGGTATGATTTTGGAAGGGGAGTGTTCGACAAAATTTTTTCCTACTACATTTAATGATAAATGCAATCGAGACTAATAGTACATGACACTGATCTCGTGACAGTTTGGAGACAGAAAACGAGATTTAGAAGTAAAACTTATTAAGAGAAAGAAGAGTATAATCCGAGATGTACGTCCTTTATAAGATTAATATAACCAGGTGAAAATGGGACAGGGAGGGAGGAGGGAGGGAGAGTAAAATTGCCTGGCCAGGAAATGGATGATGTAATCGGGAGAGGGGATTGGAATTGGGTAGGCATGAATAGAAGAGTCAAAAATATCACACAAATGGAACAGATGAGAAACTTGTCATTCCCCTGAGTCGTAGAATTAGAGATAGTGCAGCGTATTGAGATGGGGAGGAAAAAAAGGATCGTGCATCTCAACTAGTATCGATTTATCTAAATATTCTATTCCCGCATTTTTTTATACTTTCTACTAGAAATCACAGCTTTTCTTTCAAGCAGCACAATACCAATCAACTCATACTTTTATATCCCAATTTTTTTTTACCCTTCCCATTCCCATCCCACTCCACACTCCAATCCTTCCTTACAGCAAACCTTATAGATCCAACGACAATTATCGGCTACAATTATCCACAATCTAGCTTCCGTTTTGGTTCCGACGCAGTCAACCGCGAGTACTCCATTCTGTCCAATATGCTCTCTGCGACGTCTCCTCTCTCAGACGCCATGCCGGCACCGCAAGTAAGTTTTGCCGATATGGAGATGGTGGAATCCAATGCTTGGCCGCCAGCGCTGATGGCTTCTCCTCAGTGTGTGAATGGACAACTGATAAAAAAGGATGGAAGCATAAATGGGAAGAGAAAAGTGTTTAAGAACACACCAGAGAGCATATATGCAACAGTTACAAAGCCATTTTCGTACATAGAAGGATTTCATTATCTGGTTAAATATGTAAGGGAAAGGTAAGTAGAAAAGAGTGAAAGTGTGGTTAAAAAATGGAATTGAAAGAAGTATAAGATGGCAGGAGATTAGATCAAAGTTTGCAAGTGTTGTTATAGCTTAGTGAAATTTTTATCGCTGTTTAGGATGGACAAGGAGCATCAAGAGCGTATAGTTCGTGCGATAGCGACTTTTCGTCCATCCTTTATTGCATTGATTATGAACCTTACAGAAGAGGACTTGATATTTATGGAGAAATGTTTTCAGCGGACGTTGTTGGTGAGTGATTGTTGCGATTTCATGCAAAAAAGGTTATAACTCGTTGCTCACCCGTCATTCAATTACAGGAATTTGAGAAACTAATATCGTTTTCGGGCACACCGACAGTCGTATGGCGACGTACAGGAGAAATTACGCTTGTTGGAAAGGAGTTTACATTGTTAACGCAATGGTCGAAAGAGCAGTTAGTTGGAAAAAAGTATATATATGAAGTATGTAGACGAATTTATTGTTTAGAATTGTGGATCGACAACTTCATAATGCGCCCAATTATCTTTACAATTCTAACTATTTCCATAATCGATTACAGGTAATGTCGAACGAAAGTGCAACGGAATACTGGGGGAAATTTGCAGCACACGCGTTTGAGAGTTCGGGGAAGAGCGTGATGACCACGTGCGTACTAATTACTCCTCAACAAACATCGGTGATTTGTACTTTTTGCTTTACGATCAAACGAGATATATTTGATATTCCGTTGGCTATAGTTGGAAACGTGAGTATAATGAGAATGGGAGTCTAACATGTTGTGGAAAGGGAGGAGGGATGTTAACGATTTTCTTATTGTTGTTTGCTGTTTTAGTTCTTACCGATACTCAAATGATTTCAAAGGTTCCGTCAAACATTCGCTGCTTGCATTTTCACATTTGTGCGTTGACTGCTTCTTTACAATCGTTTTGTAAATGAAATTATATACTACATTATTCATTGTATTAAAGTTTGCATGGCGAACTTTATATATACCCTTTGTCAAATATAATACATTAAGAGAACTTTTTTTTATTTGTACATTTTTTTTTCCTTTTTTTTTTTATACGCAAGTGCTTTTTATGAGATTAGGTATATGATGCATGTTGAACTGTATCTATGTTAACGGTTTGGGCCTTGGAGTACAGAAATGGACGAGTTGTAATTGTAGAAATGGCTGAAAAATAAATAAAGAATACACTCGTAACAATACGTTGACAGTCTGGCCAGTTTCTGGATTTAAAAGAAGCACTCCAATTTCGTAGGCCGCATGCCTATAATCGAGTATTTATCCGTCGCTTTTACCGTAATAAGTTGGATTATTATTATTATTATTATCAGGTAAGTATGATTTTTTGATTTATTTTCTTAAAAAAATTCGAACAATATTACGGTTATTGCATGCCTCATTAAATTTAATTTTACCTCAAATATCAATCAGATCACGAGCATTTTAGTTATTGACTTGCAATCATCAGAAAATCAATTTAAAGAAATTAGGCTGTTTTGACGTCCCCCATTAACGGATCACCCCAAAACCTAAACGACTAATTCTTGCACGGTGACGTTCAAAAAACCGTTTAAATCCAACAACCTTAAAACACTTTTGGTCACGATGATCGGCAAGGATTTATTTAAGCAGATCACCATTTGTGCTACTGAACATCTAACTGCCACGTTGCGGAAAACTTTACCTACATGTTCCTCCAGCCATGTTACCTCAGAAAATCAGCATTCCTCAGCATGCTTTGTGACTATTATGATATCCGCAAAGCTGACATTTTTAATGACCTTTTTGGCACTACAACCAGCATCTCATTCTGAAGTTTGACTTGTCATTCATCAATCAGCATTAGTACGTGTATTGAGAAAAATTGGAGGCTAGCTTCAACAAGGTCATTAATGATGCATTGCAGGAATTTATCGAGAAATATGAAAAAGAATTGGGATATCCAGAAGTCGACAATGTGCTCTACACCAGTGATGCCTCTACATCTTTAAGGAATGTTTTAGTAAGTTTCTCTGGTCCACTTAGTTCAGGTTATATCCAGTCAATCACATGGGTTTAGGTTATACCTCTCTCGTGGTGACGAGATTTTGTTTGTGTCATCATTTGAGTGACGACAAGAGTTGTCATTCAAGACCTGGGTAAACTTTTAGCCACATTCAAGTACGACGAGTTTGCGTTTACATCATCATTCAAGATCGCGGTTGCGTAGGCATTTAGCGAGCCGAGGAGGAAAAGCCAAAGTTAGTTAGCGACAATAATTTTGTCATACATAGTAGAAAATTTCTAAATAATAATTCAGATAAACGATATGATTGGTCAGATTATTTCGCGCTTGCGTCGTCATTTGCTGAGGCGTTCAGGTGAGGAAGAAAGCTGAGAAAGTCAACTAAGGGAGTTAGCCGAGAAAGTTAACTGAGGAGCGTCCCATCTTAATCATATTTTTTTTTACTCACAGCATAGGAAAAAGTGCTTTTCTTTTCCCCTAAACAACAGGGATTTCGTTTCATAATATCCAAATTATAATAATTTATGATTTGCTGGAAAATTTCAAATTCGAAATGTTATGACATTCTTCGAGTTTATAATGCAATTGCTAATTTCAGTATATCTTGTTCATAATTAAAAACATATTTCTATTCTCTTTTTCCGCGCTTGGCTGGTGTATCAGTTACCTGTTTGTTTAGCATGTTGTCTCGTACTTACCTGAATATTATCTCGATTAAAATTACGCGTGAAAGCACACGCACAAAGTGCATAATAATATGACACAAAAATATACCGGATTGATAATAATTTTTGGTTATCATCAATAATTGATTGATTCTGGTTTATATAACGGAAGTGTAGGTGCAACTTTTTTAGTGGAAGCCATCTTCACTTTTGGATAAAATGCGCTTTGTGTATAAAAACCAGCTCTCATTATATGGTAGGCAATTCATCCAATAATTACGTTTCCTATACGTCGTTTTCTTGAACCTGAAAGTTTTTGTTCGCTCTTAATAGTGTTAACCGCACCAATTTGTATTAATAAATTTTATTGTAGCATTAATGTCGGGTGACTCCTTAGCCCGAGACTTATAGTGCGAGAAAAGATGTTTTTATTTATAGTACAACGAAAACGGGTTAAAAATTTGCAGGTATACTGCCTATGATATGGTAAACAAGTTTACTTAAGATTACTTAATAGTTATATTATTACCATTTCTTGCAATTATTTCCTCCAGTCTTCTTGGCATGCTACGAGTCAAATTAAAGGTCTCAGTTTCGACCCCATCCCATTCTTTCTGAATTATTTCACGAAAAGAATCTTTGGTAATTGCTTTTCTTTTTTACTAGCAGTTTGTTGACTTGTTTCTCTAAAAGATCCTTTAAAATTTTTTGATTGGGTTAATATCTGGACTATTAGACGGCCAATCCATAATTTTTGGGCATCGCTGCATGAGGAGTTCCATGGCTTCCTTAGCTTTATGCTCGGATCATTATCTTGTTGAAACATCCAATTGTTTCCCATAATCGCATTTGCATTATCAAAAAGATTTTCGGTTAAAATCTTACGATAATGTGGCCTGATTTGTGCTTGATTTGTGGCCTAAATTTATTAAAAGTGGCATGATATTTTCTGTGGCGAGGCTATTCGTTACCGGCATATTATCTTCATGTATACCGGAAGTTTGTGTTGATGAGGCCTGTCCGTCATTGTTGTTGGGGATTGCCGACTGGCTTTCATTTTCCACTGTAGTTCCGAAATCTATCAGCGACTCGTACGGTTTTAAGCGTTCGCGTCCACGTCGTTCGCGTTGTTCGCGTTGTTCGCGTTGTTCGCGTTGTTCGCGTTGTTCGCGTTTCTCACTGGCTTCGGGTTTTGTGTAGGGCGCAAACCTCTTCTTTAAAGCTGAATCGGTGTGAGTGGGAGAGTCGGTAGTGGGAGAGTCGGTACTGGGGAGGTACTCGGCTACTAACTGCGTTAAATATGACAGCATTTCCTCCTTGGTTTCTTGGCATGCTACGAGTCAAATTAAAGGTCTCAGTTTCGACCCCATTCCATTCTTTCTGAATTATTTCACGAAAAGAATCTTTGGTGATTGCCTTTTTTTTTACTGACAGTTTGTTGACTGTTTCTCTAAAAGATCCTTTAAAATTGCTCATAAATTTTCGATTGGGTTAATATCTGGACTATTAGACGGCCAATCCATAATTTTTGGGCATCGCTGCATGAGGAGTTCCATGGTTTCCTTAGCTTTATGCTCGGATCATTATCTTGTTGGAACATCCAATTGTTTCCTATAATCGCATTTGCATTATCAAAAAGATTTTCGGTTAAAATCTTACGATAATGTGGCCTGATTTGTGCTTGATTTATGGCCTAAAGATATTCAATTGGCAGTACAGTTTATATAAATAGAAATGGCATGATATTTTGTAATACAAGTGTCATAGATATAAACGAGGCACGATCATAATCGTAATAGATTATTATTGGGGGGTACAAATGAGGTGGATTTATACTGATATACAATAAGGAAAATCCGTCCAGCTGGGTTGGGTGTAATAGGGGGAACAAATGAGGTAGGACTGTATTCGCGAGTTCAGTGCTCGTAGAGTATTTGTTTGCTGAGACAAGCTGGCCGAGATGTCGACGCTGTTTAGGGGCCTGCCAGATCGGGGCAGAAGGTTTAAAGAAGTATTATTTTTAAGTTTTTGACATATTTGTTGTATACAGTGGAAAGTGGAATAGAAGTTAATTTGTGCAAAGTGTCAGCATCACGCGTGCCAGCCTCCCACAATAACAAAGAGGTTATTGTCATATCATATGCGTTGATTAAGCGAGGGTTTGGTCATTGTGTGTTGAATGTAAAGTTAGGAAACGTGTAACAAACAAAACAAAATGCAGTCGCGTTATCTAACAGGCCTTGTCAACACGTGTTATACAGCTTATTCTCATTACCGAAAAGCAATAACGATAATGCATCTTGATAATTTTAGTGTTGATTGATCGTCACACAATCGACTGAGGTTTTGTGCGGTCTTTGTTAGGTACGCTTGTAGTTGACCACCATATTTGACAGCAAGTGCTTTGATTCTCACGCCAAACCCCCTGAATCAAAACCTTATAACTGAAACAAGTCATATGTAATATGATCATAGTTACCGTCACCAGGTAAAACCAGTGACTGGGATAGTATACGTGACTTTATCTACCGTATAGCCTCCTTTGTGTAATAGGTGTGTAATCATGCATATCAGTATAGAAACTTTTAGAAGAATTGTTTTATTTTCGGGGCTTATTTTCGGAACTATACGGTATATTCATGTGCATAAACTTATATACATGAGTCATTGTCACCCCTTTTCCAAGAAGGGATAAGCGCAGCAATATTAATGGGGATAATAACAACGATAAATGTAAACACGTGAACAGCAGACCAATGTATTACTATAAGAGAAATAACTGGATACCACGTATGTGAGACTGCTGTAAAGTTTAATCCATCCTATAAAACGAAAAAGCGTAATGAATGTCATATACTTGTGGTCTTTGTTAGGCTGTCATATATCAGTGACTATTATTATACTACAATAGGAACGGGGGTGACTGTATTGTTGGGTGAAAATGGCTAAACTCATTATTAAAAAAAAATTTTTTTTAAAAGATAATTCAACCTTAACGATCATTATGGATATCAATGATGTCAGGTACGCTCCTATCACACTATTAATCACTAACTGTTATCGTATTTATACGAATCAGCGAATTTCTCTCTTTCATCTCTCAAGCCTCTATCTCCTCTCAAAGCTCAAATCTCTTTCCTCCTCTCAAAACTCAAATTTCTTCCCCCTCTCAAAACTCAAACTCTCCCCTCTCTCAAAAATGACTTTCAGAAACGCGCGCCGCCTTTTCTCGACAGCGGTAAATGGTAACGGTGGCAGCGGTGAGCAATGTACTGTGTCTTTTCTAGTATTGTAGAACACTTAAACAAGCAATATTATATTTCAGAATTATGGAACGGGTATGGCAAACCCGTTGGGGGGATATCAGCGTTGATGGTGTTTGGCCTGGTGATGAACGCGAGGATGGAGGGAAGGCTAGAACATGTCGAGAAGAGACTCGATAAGAAGATCGACGAGCTCGGGAAGAGGCTCGACATGAGAATTGACGGGCTCGACATGAAGCTCGGGAAGAGAATTGAGGGGCTCGACATGAAGCTCGAGAAGAGAATTGAGGGGCTCGACATGAAGCTCGAGAAGAGAATTGAGGGGCTCGATAGAAAGTTGGACGAGCTAAGGTTGTTAATAACACAGGTAATTATTCAACATCTAACCGGTTTGTTTCCTTAGTTGATGTAAAACTAAAAAAAAAAAAAACAAGCTAATCCAAGAATTATCGTGGTTATCAATAGCCGCCCAGAAAAGAGCAATGAACGATCTCTGTCCTGTCCGTTGCTTCTAAAGAAGTTGCTAAAACGAAGCGAAGGTAGTTGCGAGAACAACGAAATACCTAGAGAACTCATACAATCTCTATATATAATTTACACAATCCTCTTTGCCAATATTGTTATGTGTTAGCGAAAGTTACTTGCGATACTGGTTTTATAAGAATGAATTAATTATTGCAAATACTTTCTATGGATAATAACTGTAAGTGAGCTACTAAGTCTAAGATAAATAATATTGTATTGCCTATTGGCCATATTCTAGCCACCATATGTAAAATGTAGCTATACTTATTAACTAGGTAAATGTTATATATGTATATGGTACATACGAATAGTTGATCGTTATAGCGAATTATTTGTAGCGATAACATAATAGTTACCAAAAAAAATCGTTACACAAGATATTATTGATATTAACTATTCGATTGCTGTATGTAGTTCAATAAATTATGGATGCTTTCTACTTTCGAAAGCAACTAAAGTAATTCACTTCAAGATTCGCTATCATAGACGATATCCACCTTTTACTTCTACATTAAACATAGTAATAGCGAAATGCCAAATTGGAAATTGTTTATTTTTCACATGAATCACACCCACGAACGTACCTCGATAATTTACATCCCTCTATAGTTAAGGGGGGTGCTTACTTTCGGTATACACACTACTAAATTAATCCTTTGTACTCCTATTACTATATCCTATTAAACCCCTTTCCCAGCACCGTGAAGAATCCTTGATTCTTAGCTGAGCTGAGATCCAAACCCGTCAAAACAACTTCAACCCAGGGAAAACGCTACAAGCCGAAACCATGATAGTATCGCACAAGATATAGCTATAGGGAAGAAGCAGATACAAGGCGAAGGAAATGAAATGAGAAATATGCAGAGGAAGGGAAAGAAGTAACAGAACATAATATTAGTGGGATTATGGAAGACGAGACTTTTGGGTCATGGTATTGAGGATTGATGGGCATTAGAGGTTAGTTTAGTATGCGACAGGAATAACCGCCAATTGGTATTGTGAATATGGTGATGCATAGGGTAGTAAATGTGATACTTTGGTATCTGTTCGTACGAATATTCGGCTTGAGCCACTTCTAAGATATATCATTATTGACAAATTGTCAATCGTTAGATCTGCCAACTACTTCGGAATTCAGGATCTTTTACTTACCGATTGCGATAGCTCGCCCAAGTTTTGTCAGATGCTCTTTCAGGCCAGAATGTCAAAGCATCGACAGAAATAGAGCTTATGACATCTCTCAGCGGGAAAAAGAAATCCCATATTTAATAGGATGTATTGTCTATACTATTATTCAATCTATTCCGTCATTGCTACGGCTCACGGAACTTCACAATATTATAATCCAAGGCCTGTACGCGCTTAGGCAACATTCAGCTTTTCGTTCTGGATCTTTTCTGACATGCTTGCCGCCAACTACTTTCTTCCACAAATAACTTGATAGGTGTTTAGTCTGATCAACGTCATCCTTTTTTAATTCAATTTCTCGGTCGACTTTCGAGCTAACTCCAAGTCTTTCTTATTGGCTCTGTTTCTCTCATCTCCAATTAGAGTTCTGCACGGCGGACGCATTCTGACAATAAAGACAATGAGAGGGAGATTGAAAATGTAAAGGGGGCAGCAGGAGTATTTGGTATTGGTACCATGTCAGTATTCAAAACTCCTGATCCGCCTAACCCAACCGTTCGTGGAACAAACCTCTCAAAAACTCAAACTCAAATCTCATTCCCCACAAATGGCTTTCAGAAACAACGCGCTTTTTCTCAACGGCGGTAAACGGTAGCGGTGGCAGCGGTGAGTAATGTACCGTGTCTCTTTCTAATATTGTAGAACACTTAACCAAACAATATTACATTTCAGAATTCCTCACTCTCTGGAACGGATATGGCAAACCCATGGGGGTTTCTATCAGTGTCTGGGGCGTTCGGCTGGCCGCCAACCATATGATGGAAGCGTGTGGAGGTGAAGATAGACGGGGTCGAGAAGAGGATGGACGGGTTCGATAAGAGGATGGACGAGTTGAAGTGGTTAATAATAACAGGGCATCGCAGGTAATGATTCAACATCTAACCGGTTTGTTTCCTTAGTTGATGTAAAAATCAAAAAACTAATCCAAGAATTATCGTAGTTATCAATAGCAATAATATTCCGCCCAGCAAGGAGCAATGAATTTTCTTTCTGTGTGGATATTTCACGACGAATGATCTCTATGTCCGTATTCTTGATGCTACTTCTAAAGAAGTTGCTAGAACGAAGCGAAAGTAGTTGCGAGAACAACAAATCCGTCTGGGAAGTGTTCGTGGCAAAATACCTTAATTAGTTAGAGAACTTATACAATCTCTATATACTTTACACAATCCTCTTGCCAACATTGTTATGTGTTAGTGAAAGTTACTTGCAATACTAGCTTTATAAGAATGAATTAAGTTTTTCGAATTAATTATTACAAATGCTTTTGGATAATAACTGTAAGTGAGCCAAATAAAGCTACTAAGTCTGAGATAAATAATACATCGGCCACC